CATTCCTGGCATATTATTTCTTATGTGATTTCCAAAGGTCATACATCAAGTATGAGTTCACACTTCAAAACCTTAAACAAACAGTGGCCTTTAAATAATCCAATTGTTATATGTGCTTGGAAACACTGGCCCTTTGATTTTTCACTCTGTAGACAAATTCTGATCCACCCAGAACATTACCTTCTACTTTTCATCAATTCATTGTTGACCAGTAAGAATCAATTTAGATCAAGTGCTGTCAACTGAAACAACTCGTGCAGTTTGTTCAGGTCTGATTCAAATGAGGTATTCCATTATCTCATTAAAAATATATTCTGTATCAGTAACAATTAATTAAAATTTTTTCATGCTTTCAAAAATGATGATGGTATTATTAACAATATCCCTTGAAAGTTAATGGGAACAGAAGCAGTAATGCAGTATGGAGGTGCATATTTGTGAAAGACAAGAATTGTTAACTACAAGCCTTGCACATAACCATTTGTGATGAGCTGAGAACATTGAAAATGGTCAGGTAATTAAACCAAATAGTGTTTTTTTCTAGGAATGCCATGTCTCATTCACTTCCTTTAACAGGTTACCCACAAGTTACAGCACAGTGAGGCTAAGGCTATAGGCACAAATTACCACTGCAGTACTATATGTGCCCTTACGGCGCTACAAAAAGCAAGTATGTATACATTTAGGCTGTTTGTAGCACCACAAAGATGGCAGATGCACCACATACAGTTCCTGTTTCAAACTTTTAACACCACCTTCTATAGTGCCACATATAACATACGGACAGTTGCATGTACTGTTACAGAGGTGCCTCTGCCGCCTCAGTATCCCAGAGTGCTCCATTCTCCCTTCCCTCCTCCAAGATGGGAGGTGGGAATGGAAGAAGGGAGAGCAGCTATCTCCCTGACAGCCTGTTGGGAGCAAGTGTCAGAGCTGCTGCTCTGCTCCTCTACAGTGGTGGCAACAACTGATCAGATGGCTGAGACCACCTGATCAGCTGTTACCACCATATATCTGAAGCAGCATGATCAGCTGTTGCTACAGATAATGCATTTTGCAGTGTTAAAAATAAATATGTCCATATGGCTAAAGTGAGGCAAAAAGATACCCTCAATGAGTAGGCAAGCTAAAGCTTACTTTGGCAATATGTCCTGTGAAATACTTTCCAGATCATTCTATCCTTACTTATGGATGACAGAGTTAAATTTGACATTTTAAATGCCTATATCACCAGGAGCACATCTACACGTTCATTAATGTGCCTTAATTACTGTGCATCCAATTTAGTTCTTGTCTAATGAAGTATTAAGTAAATACGCATTAACTAGAGTTACTGCACAGTAGCGCCGGTGCATGGTTATTTTGTGATGCTTACTGCTCGTTAGCCTAATAACACTGTGCAGTAGACTATTACCATGGTTTTTAACTGCCACACTACTGTGCAGTGTTATTAGGGTAACGTGCAGTAAGTGACTCATGTAGACGTGCCAACAGACGCTCAATCCCCAGCCCAAAGTCCACGTCTGGCACCTGGTGCCATGTCATCTGGCCTACAGAATTCCCCACAAATCTGCACATTAGTTTGGGTGCAAAGGTGATGGGAGCCCTGATCATGGCATACGGGAGCTAGGCTCCCTGAGCCTAATCCCAGCCAGATGGAGGTGGTGAGGGGCCCCAAGACCCAATCCTGGCCAGTGGGAATGGTGCATAGCCCTGGGGCTCAATCCCAGTACACAGGGGTGGCACAGGGCCCAGTCTGGACTGGCCTCATCCCATTCATTTGGCCCGTGGGGCCAAAACATTGAGCACCACTGGCCTAGATTATGCCCCCTTTTGCCTCCAAGAGTTCAATACAACTGGAGTCCAAGGCTGGAAAAATGTCAGTTTCTCTCTAATTTTTCTCCTGACATAGCATAATTCCCCTGTAAAACCTCAAATCACAGATCTGCAGAAAACCTGAATATGTGCTTGATCCTCAGTCCCTCTTTGTTGTATTGTTCAGGGATTCAGAAGCTCATGGTCACCCTCAATCCTCTTCTATTAAAGAGGGGTACATGTGCCAAGAGATTTCTCTGAGCAATGAGTAGTAACAAACAAGCCTGTACATCTTTGCATGGATATCCTGAAACACGTGGAGGTGTGGAAATGCCAACCTTCTATTCTTCTGGTTGCATAACATCCTGGAAACAGAAAGTGACTTGAGGGATGGGCCCTATTCTGCACAGATCATAGAAGGAAATATGGGCGGAGAATGAAAGTGGCAAGTCATGAATGGGGACCCAATCTTATCGAACTTTTTCATGTGCCACTACTTGCGCTAGCCTGGATTACAAGGAGGAGGCAGTAAAACTAACCTCCACTTCTACTGGCTAATGACTAGGAACTGAACTGGGCTACTACAAGGTAAATTCTGAAGAACTAGCATACTTTACAGGGGATTATTCTTGTTTAAAGCAGTGAAATGAAATTGTGCTCCATGTTTAAATTGACATCCTGGTCCTGTGGGAGTTGGTGCGAATTCTATCACTGACCTAAATTAGGTACAGATTTCACTTTTCAACTACATCAAAAAAATAAATGTGAGCTTTATTTGCCTGAAGTATTCACATCAAACAATCTCCCAAATCTTGTGCTCATGACACTGCATAATGATTTTTCAGAATGTTTTCTATAAGCAGCAAAGGATAATATTTCACATTTGATGGAAAACACCAGTTTTTGTCAATTAAGTAAATTTACCAAGAATAGAGCATTACATTAGTGCAGTCAAAATAGTGTCATAATCTTAGCCTCTTGTTAAAATACTCAAATAAACTGGTGTAACACTTCTTAAAAACAGAAGTGCACAGCACTAAGTTCTCTTACAAAAATGTATCATATTACTAATCTGACTTTGTGGTATTGTGATGGCATCTTAGGAAGGTCAGCTATAGGTAGAACTGACCACACTGTTAAAGTCCATTACACTTCAAAAATGCTCCCCATACACAAAGGGACTTAAAAACAAAACAGTGTCAATCATTTTTCCCTCTTTGTAGTCAGAGTTTCACAAGCTGTCCATTTCAAATTAGAAGAATTTACTAAACAGAACAATTTCTGCAAGTGTGAAATAAAATATAGCTACATCCATTCAGTATCAATAAATAATAATTAAACAAAAATTTACGAACTGGCAAAATGCCAAAAAAAAGATGCCATCTCAATTCAGTTCTTCCTCAAGGCAAGTATTTATTATGTTTTATTTGGATGTGTTGGAACATGCCAGTTATAAGAAGAAAGCTTGGGGGGGGGGTTGGTTTTTTTTTGTTTGTTTTTTGTTTGTTTGTTTGTTGTTTTTTTTACAGAGAATCAGACTGAATACCTTCTA